CTCTTGTAACCAGGAGGTCCCTGGATGAATGTAGATGTTAAATGACCTGCCTCCTTTCCTACATCTCTGGTTTCAAGCAGGGACTGAGTTTTGCATCTGGCTTCCCTGAAGACACCCTGGCCTGCTGCGAGCATGTCTAATCAGTTCAAATGGGGGCCCAAGCCAGCTCTGTGGCAGCTTGTCCAGCACGACTGTGCCGTGGGGCCTTTTTGAATCAGAACAACTGGATTTTCTCTTTCCAAAGTTGTTGCAGTGCCTGGACCACACGCTGTGGCAGAGCACAGTGCTTTCAGGAGAAAATGGTCCGAAAGCTCCCAGATTGATTTATTTTTTATGCCACCTTCAAAACAAGGAAAAGAGAGGGGGAGTTTCCAGTAAAACATAAAATGAAAGTGTGCCAAAACCTATTGTTCCCTATTCCTTCTTATAGAATCACAGAATCATTAGGTTGGAATAGGCCTCTGAGATCATCAAGTCCAACCATTGATGTAATACCACCATGCCCACTAAACCATGTCCTGAAGTGCCATATCTACATGGGGTTTTTTAACACCTCCAGGGACGGTGACTCCACCACTTCCCTGGACAGCCTGTTCCAACGTTTGACTACTCTTTCCATAAAGAATTTTTTCCTAACATCCAATCTAAACCTCCCCTGGTGCAACTTGAGGCCATTTCCTCTTGTCCTATCACTTGTTACTTGGGAGAAGACACCAACCCCCACCTCACTACAACCTCCTTTCAGGTAGCTGCAGAGAACGACAAGGTCTCCCCTCAGCCTCCTCTTCTCCAAACTAAACACCCCCAGTTCCCTCAGCCGCTCCTCACAGACCTGTTCTCCAGGCCCTTCACCAGCTTCATTGCCCTTCTCTGGACACGCTCCAGCACCTCAATGTCCTTCTTGCAGTGAGGGGCCCAAAACTGCACACAGGATTCGAGGTGCAGCCCCACCAGCGCTGCATCCTTCTTCCAGACCCAATGCCATCTCCTCTCTTCTCTGGCCACTTTCTCCTACGGCTATGCCCCAACAGGTCTGGGCAGTGCCAAGAACCAAAGGAGCTGGGTGCCAGCAACCTGTGCCCTTTTTCCTGGCAATGCTACCAGGCTGTGCCCCATCTAGAGCTGCTCTCCACCCTGGAGCTTCATCCCACCCACAGACCGGGGACATTCCCTGTCCCCAAATTGCTGCGCAGAGAGTGTCCCTTTGGAGTAGGACACGAGTGGGAGCAGCCGGGGAGGGGCAGGGGCGTTGCAGACACGCACGGACAGAGGCAGCAAGTGCACACGTGTGTGCACACACGCCTGCGCCATGCTCACACTGGCCACGGAGGGGGACGCCCAGGGACCCTCGGAGCAGACGTGACCTACTTTAGCTCCAAGGCGAGCTGTGTTGCGCGAGTCCCAGTGTAAAAGCTTAATAGAGCCGGGCGTAAATTATTCATTGCCTGGCCATGTTAATGCATGTGCTAAAGGCTTTTTAAAAAAAAAAAAAATAAAAAATCTCCTCTATAATTTAAAGCCTTGCACACTCTCATCGCCAGGCCCTGACTGCTCTCCGGGGTGTTTCTGCTTAGGTGAGCAGAGCTATGAGATGAGGACAGACCCGGCA